GTTGTTGTTGTTGTTGTTGTTGTTGTTGTTGTTGTTGTTGTTGTTGTTGTTGTTGTTGTGTTTGTTGTTGATGTTCTTGTTCTTGTGGTTGTTGTTGATGTTGCTGTTGCTGTGGCTGCTGTTGTTGTTGGTGTTGTTGTTGTTGTTGTCGTGGTTGCCGTTGCTGTTGCTGTGGCTGGTTCTGTTGCTGTTGCTTTTGTTCTATTTTTGCTGCTGTTGCATTTGCCGTTGCCGTTGTGTTGTTGTTGTTGCTGTTGTTGTTTTTGTTGTTGTTGCTGTTGTTGTTCCCATTCATGCCATTCGCCGCCGTGGAAGGTTTGCTATTTTGTGAAAGCACACCCGTTCACGCGCACCGGCTCAGCACTGCACACATGCCAGCCAAATGGTAAGAACAACCCGCTCACGCCACCCGCTCAGCACTGCACACATGCCAGGCAAATGGTAAGAACACCCGCTCACGCGCACCCGCTCCACTGCACACATGCCAGGCAAATGGTAGGCAAATGGTAAGAACACCCGCTCACGCGCACCCGCTCACGCGCACCTGCTCAGCACTGTACACATGCCAGGCAAATGGTAAGAACACCCGCTCACGCGCGCCCGCTCAGCACTGCACACATGCCAGCAAATGGTAAGAACACCCGCTCACGCGCACCCGCTTAGCACTGCACACATGCCAGCCAAATGGTAAGGACACCCGCTCTCTGGCGAGATGCTTACAGTTGGGTGCGGCGGCACAATGAGTTGTTTATGGGCCACGATTTTGAGAAGCGCTTGGTAAAGGCCTTGTGGGCGAAGTGACACGCTGCTGCCTCGGAGAAAAACAAGCGCTTTGAGCCATAACTCTTCTCAAAAACCGGACTTCTTGAAAAAAGAAACAGATTGACAGTTCTGTGTTTTGGAAACAAGGGCTGGGGAAAATGCGCCGCCTTCCACGGCGGCGAAAGACGCGGATGCCTTTTCTTCTTCTTCTTGTTCTTGTTGTTCTTATTGTTATTCTTGTTCTTCTTGTTCTTGTTCTTGTTGTTCTTGTTGTTCTTCTTGTTCTTGTTGGTCTTGTTGTTCTTGTTGTTCTTGTTGTTCTTGTTGTTCTGGTTGTTCTGGTTGTTCTGGTTGTTCTGCTTGTTCTGGTTGTTCTTGTTGTTCTTGTTGTTCTTGCTGTTGTTGTTGTTCTTGTTGTTGTTGTTGGTGGTGGTAGTTGTTGTTGGTTGTTGTTGACTGTTGTTGGTTGTTTTGGTTGCGTTTGGTTGCTGCTGCTGTTCGTTGTGGCTGTTATGGTTGTTGCGGTTGTTGTTGTTGTTGGCGCGGCGCTGCTTACGCGGCCCGCGATTTGGCACTTTCAGTCACGCGGATGCGGGTTGAGCTCGGGTACTTTGGTCTCTGTTCCAAGCAGGCTCCAGCAATCGGAGTATTTTCTCGGCATTGTTGCGTGTGTGTGCCACGCAGGTTTGTTTTAGGCGTTTCTTCGCGCGGGGCAAGGCAGAGGGGGGGGTCGGGGTAATAGTGTCCACCTTGACCGCAGCGGGCCCATGGAAAACTCAAAGCTCCCAAGAGGACATATGCGACCCCGGCGGCGCCCTTTTTCAGGCTTCCCACAAAAACCGTATAACACAAAAGGTGCGACTTTGTTGCCTTGTCTTGAAAGTTTGGTGCCGGAAAAAGGCGCGCTTTTCTCCCCCCACTGGTCCAGGAAAGAGTAATCACCAAAGGATAGTTCCAAAGCGACTAAGAGCAGTGAGACGAACAAAGGGTTCCACAAAAAGCGTCTTTGGTTCCATTTGCTACGGTGCCATCTTGGTACATAAAGTGCTGCCGCTTGGGATAACCTTTGACAACCAACAGTAGGTTTAAGCGAAAGCAGCCCGGTACCTTGTTGTTGTTGCTGCTGCTGCTGTGGTTGTGGTTGTGGTTGTGGTTGTGGTTGTGGTTGTGGTTGTGGTTGTGGTTGTGGTTGTTCTTGTTCTTGTTCTTGCTCTTGTTCTTGCTCTTGTTCTTGTTCTTGTTCTTGTTATTGTTCTTGTTATTGTTCTTGTTGCTGTTGCTGTTGCTGTTGCTGTTGCTGTTGCTGCTGTTGTTGTTGCTGTTGCTGTTGCTGTTGCTGTTGCTGTTGCTGCTGTTGTTGTTGGTGTTGTTGTTGTTGTCGTCGTGGTTGCCGTTGCTGT